AAAAAAAAAAAAAAAAAAAAAAAAAAAAAAAAAAAAAAAAAAAAAAAAAAAAAAGGTCCAGAGGAGATGGTCGGAGACAGCCGCGGCAGAGATGTCGGGCGCCGAGTCTTCCGAGCAGGCGGTGCGCAGGTGGTCGATGCCGTGGGACTGCCGTCACGTGACCGAGTGGCCGAGACAAGACACGACGACGGCCCGGTCGCGGCTCAGGGTACCCGGTCCGTACCACCAGGAGCAGCGCAGCAGGTCCTCGACCCCGGAGTCCCTGTGGAAGGCGCAGCAATCGGCGACGCAGAGCGCGAGCCAGGACGGCTTGCGCGAGGCCATACAGTTGCTCTCGTGCAAGCCGGGACTCAGGCCCTCGAGCCACCACCACCACCACCATCAGCCCAACAGCGCTCATCAGGCCGCTTCGGCGTACCATCAGCCAGTCCTGCCCGGTGTCACCCTCACCGCCTGTAGCTACGAGACCATAGGCTACGAGTCGTCGGCCTCCTCGTCGTCCGTCTGGCCGGGCTCCTGCAGGGCTGGGGCTGGCGGTGGCTCGTCGAGGGGAACCTGCTGGCCCCACGACTATTCCCACTCCAGCGATTACTCCGACCACTCGGGTATACATACCACTTTATACAACCACATAGGGTTTTTATTTGTTTACACGTGTTTTCATGCTCAGGCCATCGGGATAGCGACCACAGCGTGCACAGCTGCGAGCACAGAGATTCGGGTGAGCGATACAACACACTTTTGTCTCTCTCTCTTTTTTTTTTTTTTTTTTTTTTTTACGACACATTTAATGATATTGTAATCCACGTGTATAGAGCACAGCGTAGGAAGCGGTAGCGGGCACGGGGACAGCAAGGACAGCATTCATTCCCACAGCGATTACGGTGGTCATCGCGAATCCGATCCCGGACCGGTTGAGCTGCTCCAGTCGCGCAAGAACAGCTCGTCGACCGACTCGTGCATCTCGGCTCACAGTAGGTCGGGCTCGGAGAGCGCTGCCGGTGCTGGGGTGAGAAATACTATGATGTATACATATAGTCACACATCGGGCCTTTTGTTTCTTGCATATATACATAAACACTTTACTGCCCTTTTGTCAGGAATCGGTTAGATCGAACCTGTACTCCATGTGGAGCGGCAGCGATTTGCCGTTCATCAAGCTGACCGAGAGCAGCGAAAATCAAGAGGATTCGACGCGCTGATGTGACCGAGCAATCGTCGTCACTTGGTTTTACCCAAAATCACTAAACAGACCAAAGATACGCGCGTGTGTGTTTAAAACACTATATATAGCGAAAGTCAAGTATATATCACCGAACGTCCTTTGCCTTTTTTTGCGTGCAAAAGGAGGGAGAAAGTTTGCAGGCGCGTTTGGTATACATACATTGTGTATAGATAAATATATATATATATTTATTAGATATGACAATTGCCAAGCAGGTGTGTACCAATTCGATGGAATTTTTATTTTTTTTATTTAAGAGATATGTTACGTATCAATTACGGGATTAAACACACCATGGATGTTGTTTTTTTTTTTTTTTTTTTTTTAATCTGTTTATAATTATAGTACCTCGTGTTTGTTGACAATTGTGTCTACGTTGAATCTTTATCGTCGCTATATAAATTACAAGCATCGCACAGATTTGCCATTATATATATATTACATAGACGCAAACAAACTGCCAAAAATAAAGATTTTCTAACGCAACAATATGTGAGACGACGTATCCATAGATATATAACGCAATAATTGATGTACACTTGGATTATAGGCATTTAATGTACGTTTAAGTTTTCATATACGAGAGAAAGAACATAAAAAAAAAAAAAAAAAAAAAAAAAAAAAAAAAAAAAAAAAAAGATATTAACAAAATAAAGAAAGAAAAAAAAAGGTTTCAAACAATTTTTCCTCGTTTCTACTAATTATACTTACAATAGACTAATACATACTACAGATACGAAGAACATGTAATAAACATGTGGCATTTAATAAGAAAAAAAAAAAAATTTTTTTTTTTACATCCTATACATATATATGTACAATTTAATCCTTATGGCACAGAGTTATACAGTATACAAATAATTAACTACGCGATTAAAATAAATTCAACTCATCGACGACAAAATTAAAAAAGTTACAACCTTGGGACGCCTGGCGGCTATTATACCATATGTATCGGGCCGTCGCATACCACTCGATTTCCAACTGTATATACTCAACTGTAGACATCCTTAAAAACGTGTATTTGAACAAAGTATGAAACACGCAGAGTTACATAAAGTCAAGCACAGCTGAGAATCGTTGTATTTATTTGTTTGTTTTTCATATCAAAAGGAATAATAAAAGCAGCCGACAGTGGCATTCCTCGCAAGTACCGCCGATCGAGCCATTTCTCGAGAGAGTTGACGATTCGTGCGCGACGCAACAACCAACCGAGAAACAATAAGCAGCAAGAGCCACGTAGCCAAAGAGGACTCAGTCGACCTCGTCGTTGCCCAAGTAATCGTCGTCCTGCCCGTAATCGTCGAACTGCTCCTTGAGCTCCTCCTCCTTGTCGACGGGGCACTTTTGGCACCGGGACTCGTTGATGCCGTAGTTGATGCACGTGTCGCCCACGCACTCGCAACAGCCGTCGTGGAACCAGCGGTAACTCGACGCCCCCATGCTCTGGCAGCTCTTTTTGCACTGACCCCACGAGGTGCACGTCGATATGTAAGCCACCGAGCAATTGAACGTCACCACGTTGGGCTTCAACGGGTGATTCAGCTGCGTCTCGTCGTTCTCCGTCACTGGAAGAAAAACAAAAAAAAACAAAAAAAATTTATATTCAGAGTTACAACACAAGTCCTTGCTTGACGATGACTTACTCATGCGGTATTTAATCTCCTTGTCCGGCTTGGGTGAGAACAGAGTGATGTTAAAGTCGACCGGGTACGTGAAGGTGTGCCACCTCTCGTGGGGGTCGGGCTCGGCAGTGAGGGCTTGGAAGAGGCCGGGGATCGGCTCGCCGAACTCCTCGACGTGGGATTTTTTGCTCAGCCGGTTGTCCGTGACGTTGGGCTTCGGGCACAGATCTGCAAGAAAATACATCGATGGGTAATCTACATTGTAGCCAAATCCAAAAGCGATGGCGATACGAAAATGAGGACCCACCAACGCAGGAGCAGCACTCGTCGTAGAGATACGACAGACAGGAGAAACAGTCCTTGCAGCAGGTGCACGAGACGAGGTCGCACTTGCAGCTCTGGGTGAGCATGCACTTGCTCACGACGCTCGCGCATATGGCCTCGTTGCAGGCGTAGCTCCAGTTAAACGAGGACAGGAGGAGAACGGTCAGGCCCAGCAGGCTCACGGGTGATGATGCCAAGGCTGCTACGTCGTTGGCCATCCTGGGGCTCATTTAATCGTATTTCTTCTTTTTCTTCCCCTTACTTCGCCTATGCTCCTGTCGACATAACGATTCATTGGCTTGTGAGTAAATGCTGTACGATAGTATATACCCATGAGACATACATTTTTCTTCATTTGATACACCTATAGTACTTGAAAGGGTCAATTTTAAATATATCCATAACACATGCTCTCAAAAAGTCGCGGCGTCATAAACTAACATTAGATTGCATTGCTTCTGCGAGGGTATTAGCGCTACATTGTTTTGCTTACCCTCTTTTATAGCCAGAAGGGATAGTCTTACAAATCCTTTTTATCATACTATATGTTATATATCCCGTGTATACCACCTACGTGCGGAACAAAGCATACTTTGGCGTGAGATGAAAAAATAAGGACAACAACAACAAGTCGCTTTCAACGAGCTTGTAAAATTGAAAAGCGATTTTCTAAAAATGAGTATGGGTATCGCACTTTTCCGTGAAATGATTCCGGTGGTATATACGTGTGCTCTGACTATATATGAACTATTATCGCCGAGAGAGAAACCGAGACTACTGGAAAACCGAGAGATCGGCACGTTCGCTCGACAAATTTACATTCCACGTAATCCCCTGGATATACACAATGCACCCGAACAATGAAAAGGGTTGTGCAGCTTATATACATCATATATATGGGCACTAAAGTACGTGTGCCAGTGTATACCCCGGACCGAATGTCGAATATATACAATGCAGCAACGATGACTTTGAGCGCCAAGTGTACGTGGCGCCACTCTGACAGGTGATTTTATTATCCTCCATATCCGTAGAGATAAATTTGTATGATCCACCCAAAGGGACAACGGGGAGTATCGTTGTGTACATATATTTATATATATATTCGGCAAACTTTGGACACTGCGTCCCCGTTGATTGTACCTGGGAATTATAGCTATAGAATCAACAAAGTCCAAAGTAAGAAAGTATGGCCACCCTCTCGATTATCTTGCTGAGCCCAACAGATAGTAATTTCTCGGACAAATGTAATTATACGCTTCGCAGGAGCCATACCCCTCCATCTCTCTGCTCCTCGACCCTCGCGTACTTATACCTATAATGTAAGAATAAGCTTTTTTTTTTTTTTTTTTTATGCACGCGCGCGTTTGTCCTCCTTGAATCTCGACGTCAGGTGTGTACCATCGTCTGGCCCCGCGTGCAGAGATAAACGAGAAAACAAGAGAGATAGAGAAAGAGAGAGCATGACTAAACGGAGAAAAATGTCGGCGCCTCGTATACATATATGTATATATACCCATGGATGTATTAACTTTGTTGGGGATTGTTGGTGGTGCACGACGCAGTTTGAGAAAAATACTTGTAGATCGGATCGGGTCAACCGAAGCACTATACACTCTTCGATCGTTAGGTTTAAAGGAGAAAACAATTGTTTTGCCCACGATGTGAGATTAAAATCATCGATGAATATGTCCGTACAGAAGAAAAAGCGAGATCGCGGAGATGCGTTTCGATCTCATAGGAGGGATCGGGAAGAATCAATGGTTCGCGAGTCGACGTAACAAGTATCATTTTGCATCTGTACATGTATATAGATGAGTACCACCTCCTCTACCATGTACAGCAGAACGAGTGAGATAGTAAAATACGGAATCGACGCGAATGCCACTCTCTTTCTCTTAGCTGGCAAAATATTGCGAAACACGTGCGAAAACAAACAGATACCCGTCGAAGCCGTGCACTCCACTACCGATCGTATAGTATGATACTTAGGTATGTCGCCCCGAGCTCGATAATCATACGTATTATATGTGCTACAGCCTTTCGCTTTGGGATAAATCGATTTTTCGCTGTGTACATCCGACGAACCAAGAAAACAGGTTGACCACACGCCCTCGGGCAAAGGATGTAACGATTGTCGCGATAGTTGGAGCAGTGGCGTGCTAATAATAGTTGGTAAATCTGCGCAATCGATTGCAAATCTGTGAGAACATACAACGCACCTGTTCGGGACGATCGGTTACTCCGTGCGGTCCCCACTTGTACCAAAGGCTTATAGGTCTTTGTCTTTATTCCGCACGATACAATTCACCCAGTCAGCACTTGTCACTTGTACGCACACTGCACAGAGAACCGGCTGGGAAAATCTGCAACTTGTGCTCACGAGCACCGGCACTCCCGCGTCGACGTTATTCTCGATGGCGAGCGATCGCCGTGTGACATTATACTTTGTACGCGCTCGAGGATCGCCGATCCCACCGCAGGACTGACTCTCGCAGGCTTTTGGTGTTGGTTCTTTGGTTTATGTCAATAATGTTACGAGCTAGGTAACAAGCCAAGCTGGACTGAGAAGCGATCGGCAAAGTGGACTCGGTCGTGTAATGCCAGAGAGAGAGAGAGAGGACCACTGGCGGCTGGTGCAGGAGAAGAAGGAGGTGGATGAGGAAAAAGGCGCACCGCAAACGAAGAGAAGGAGAACGCCTCTCACTGGCCGCTGCGAGGCTGGAGGCTGGAGGTGGTCAGAGCCGATCTCGAGGGAAGGGAGAGACTGGTTTTCGAATTACTTTTTATTTTTTCCTTCCCCCCCCCTCCCCTTACCGATCTTTAGGGGGGACCCGCGTGTAATTATAGGTACTATGAGGAAGTGGATTAGCTCGTTTCGTGGTTTTGCGTTTGGTTCTCTATTCGCGAGATCGGTAATCCCTTGGATCGGTCGTTCTTGTCCTCTGGATCGAAAAAACGATCGCCGTCTCTACCGAGATAAAGATACATATACAAGTAGAATCAACGAGATAGGGAGTTTACTTGTCGCCCATCCCAACTATCGGAGATTTATACAAAATGTAGTTATTGATAATGTATCCTTGAAAGTATTTGTCCCGCTTTCCCCTTTATTATTCATCTGTACAATATCGTAGATACATATTTCAGTCGCAATCGTAATTAACAATTGGCTCCGACGCGCGTGGAAACCTCTACAATTACGGTATATCGGTATCATGATACATGAATTACAATTATTATTGTTATCATCATTAATATTGTTCATGTTGGGCTCATCGGAAAAAAAGTATACAGCATTTGTAGAGGTACCCAAAAGCGCGCGTACTGCCAAAGAGAGGAATAACGTTATACACTCCTGCCGCGTGCTTCATTTACCTTATAAAATGGGATTATTGCATTTAGCCACTTCCGCTCCGGCCCTCGTCGTCAGCGACTTCCCGGCTCTTGTCCCCTCGGGCGGCGTTAACGACGGCACGTACGCGTTATTTTAGCGCACACGCTTTGGACCATTTCGTACTTACTCGCGCGCTCGAACCGTTGGAAGCGCCTCGTCGAGTACTATACCTTTGAAAACCATGCACAATAAAGCACGAACAAAGTACACCCACGCACTGAAACTACTCTCACGCGAATAAATACATAAACAAATAATGTCAGTAGGTACAACGACTCGGTGGACGCGACCAAACAATCCACTCGCACGTGTTACACTGTAAATGTGGATCAACGGCGCTTGACGTACTTTGGTAAGTATAGGATTAGGAAGCGATCCAATCGAGTCCTCGAAGTTGACTGAAAAGAGAAAGGGAAAGAAGTGGAAAAAAAGGGAAAACTCATGCTTGGGTGGAGTTGACGTTCGTCGTTGTATATTATCTTGGGCAGTAGTTCGGGCATCAATGAGGGGTGGAGGAGCTGAGTCTATTCGACGCCACCGCAGGTATGCCAAAGAATCGTTAAACGCAAGGAAAACGACGGTATATGCATATATACGAGGGAAGAGAGGGAGATGGGACACTCGTCTGGGGCATAAGCGCGTGGGAAGGGACGTATCCACGCATACCTGATGTCCATGTGTCTGTTAATGGACTGCTCTCTTCTTGGACTCGGTATATAACGTTGCATTCTTTAAATTCAATTTTCTCGTCCAGAGAAAGAGAGAGAGAGATGCAGAGCTGGGGATAATCATTGTGAGAAAGGATGTCACTTTTGTTGCGATATCCAAAACATTTAGTCCAAGAATTGGTCATCCTTACATTTAGGGGACACTGTGAGGCAAGGTGAATTAACTTCGTCTTTTTAATGAGGATGAAAAAATAGTTTTGTCAATATAAATGCTCCGTATGAAAAAAAGGCACGAGGTGATAAAAAAAAACTCATTAACTAAAGTTGCCCGGAGCTCTTCTGAAACATACATGTAATATATCTAAATATACATTTGAACTATTAGAGCTTATATAAATATAGTTATGTTTTAATAGATTCAAATTAACCTCGAGTGCTCCTTGGCAACAACGTGTTGACGAAATGTAAATTATTTGAAAGTTGAAAGAAACGCCACGTTTAAATACAAAGAAAATGCTTTTTAAAATATGTTACCGATTTCAATGCACCTCATTGGTCACATGAGATGATGAGACCTACCGCCAGTGGCTACATCATTCAGTCGCTAGTAAATTTTTCAACCAATCACGAAGCTTTTCCAACTGTTGACACTCGATGCAAGCGCCACTGTTGGAACTCTCGAGGCAGTGATGAAATGCGCCTCTCAATGATGTAGTTCCAAGTTTCGCCACCTTTTGACTGAGAAAAAACAGGTATATAAATCTGGTTTTGGTCACCCCTGACGAACGAAACGGAGTCTGCTGCATATGGAAACAAGTTTTCTTTCGTACTTTCTTTTCGTTTTCTGCTAATGTCCTCCACCAACTCAGTTTGGTTGTTGGAAATACATTATCTAAACACGAAAAGGCATTTCTACTGCGAAAAATATCAGGGCGTGGATTGTTGCATTTACTCAGGTATTTGTTTTACTTTCTCTTTTTCTGCCTTGCATTGACTCATGCAGACTATAAGCAAGTACTTAAGCCCTTTGAGGTTTCGCTACACATTTTCATTTGAAATTTTCTAAATACGGTGGTTTGTCCTTCTTAAGATCATATGGTTTTTTTTTTTTTTTTATGCGTTCGACAGATGTTACATATGCATTAGTCGATAGTTTACAAAATTCGTAAAAGTTAAAATTATCGCAAATATTTGACTCCTTCCACACTGTACATTTGTAATAATGACCATTTATATTTATGAAAAATTGGCCAAACATTTTTGTTGTTTTTTTCATCACATCACTCTTTCTAGTCCCTATAGTAGTGTAATGTAAATATCTACGTAACCTAGACAAGCTTATGGCACTTATTCTACGTGTCGACTACTGTAAATTAATATATTCCGATGTCGTTTTACAATGTTATTTTGCTATTTTTTACATTAAACGATTTTTTTTCCAAAATATTTATTAATGACTCGGGGATTTTTTTGCAGGAAAATGAAATTATTATTATTATTGCTGGTGGCACTCCTTTTATTACAAGGTTCTGTTGCTCCACCTGTTACAAAAGAAAAGGAAAAAGAGACGGAAAATGGAACAGAAAATGAAACTGAACACCTTGAAGGATTGGTATTTATTAAGCAAACTAATACATCTAGATATTTACAACTAGAAATTTTTTAATTGATTATTTCTACAGGATTTGGAGTATGGACGTTATTTTAAAGAAATAGTAACAGCACTAGAAGGCGATGATAACTTTCGCAAGAGATTAGAGGAAACAGATGCTAGTGATATTCGCGTAAGTATACTCTTTGTAAAATAAAAAATAAATTTTTATTTCCCCTCAAGTTGACAATGAAAAATTTTCTTTACAGTCTGGAAAAATAGCATACGACTTGGATCTAGTGAATCACAATATTAGGTCGAAATTAGACGAAATAAAGAGGCAAGAACTCAATAGACTGAGGCAAGAAGCCACACATGAATTTGAAATGGAAAATCACATTCAGAAAGAGTACATGAAAATTCCTAAAAATATCGAACACTTGGATCAAGATAATCCCCATAGTTTTGAAATTAATGATCTTAAAAAACTGATTCAAAAGGTTTGCTACAATATTTTCACTTAAAACATGAAATTAAAAGCCCATATTAATGTAAATTAATAACAGTCCATTCAAGATTTGGAGGAAGCAGATAACAAGAGGAAAAAAAACTTCACGCAATACGAAATGGAGAAAAAATATAAAGAAGAGCAAAAAAAGAACAGTAGGAAAACTTGTAAATTATTTTTACATAAGTAAAAAATATTTAATAATTTAATTTGTTTAAAAAAATTTTGTTCTAGATATGACTGAACAACAAAAAGAGATATATCAACATGAAATTGAAGAAAAAGAAAAAAAACATAAAGATCACGAGCCAGTAATTACTTTTGTTACAAAATTTCCAAATTATAAATTTCGTTGAAAATAAATAAATTTTAATTTTTTTTAGCTACATCATCCAGGTAGCAAAAAGCAGTTAGAAGAAGTTTGGGAAGAAGAAGATCATATGAAAGATCAGGAATTCGACCCAAAGGCATTTTTCCACATGCATGGTATGTTTTTAAAGTGATAAATGTAATAGTTCTATTTTAAGTAAGAATTAGTTTGATGATTTTGCTTCTCATACAAGATTTGGATGGAAATGGTTTTTGGGATGAAGATGAGTTAAAAACGATGTTTCTTAGAGAAATACACAAACTTTATCCAGACGGAAATTCAGAAGTTGATCCTGTTGAAAAAACTGAGGAACTAGAGAGAATGAGGGAGCACGTCTTCAAAGAAGCTGATACCAATGGGGATAGACTTATTAGGTAAGGCTTCAGTAGTTTTTATCAATTGTTTGTTCAGGAAAACTATGAAATCAAGATAAGATTGAAATTAATACCCAGTAAATTCTAACAATAATGTTCTTTGCTTTATACAGTTACAAAGAATTTTTAGTACAGTCATCAAAAAAAGAATTTGATCAAGATCCTGGTTGGGAAACACTTGACCAAAAACAAGTATTCTCGGATCAACAATACGAAGAATACAAACAAGAACTTGAGAAAGCCTTGGCTAGAGGACTGGTAAGATGACGTAAAATAAAATATTTATATTGCTTGTTTTGAGTGAGCATGTTATTTCGTAAACAACTTCCCAGTAACCAAATCGTATGTTTTTCTTTTCATTTCATGAATAAAAAATTTTTTTTTTAGTATCGATTTTCACATGTTTGCAAATATATTTGCTAATACTTAGTAACTAGAGCTATTAATTTTGCTTGTGCATTGTTTTTTTCATTAGTCACCAGAACATGCCAGTCAATTAGCTGCGCAGCATCAAGTAAGTTTGTAGAAACCACTATACCTATCGACGTTTAGTGTACTCTTCCTCTACTTATTTCTCTGTAGTATCATTTCTGAATTATCTTTGATTTGGCATGACTATTGAAAAAAAAAAAATACAAATAAATAACATTACTAAAATGTTTTTCAGTTTCCACCGTATCATAATGAGATTCCACAGCACGTTCAACAACAACAATACCAACAGATACCACAGCAACAGTACCATCAACAGGGTCAATTTGGTCACTTACCACCACAGCATTTTGATCAATTTAATCAAGCACATGGAGATTACCAGCAAGGTCACCCTATGCAACCTCAATATGGTCACGTTCCACAACAACCCCAGTATCATCCAAATGATATAAACTACGTACAACCGCAGCAGAATTTCAATCCTAATCAACAACTACCTGTGGGACATGTTCCACCACCACAACAGTATCAACAGCATCAAGCGGCAGCAAATCAGATTCCTCAGCAACAGTACTACCAACCACCTCCAGGAGTTCCAAACCATGTACCTCAGCAACAATTCCAACAATCACTGCCTGTACCATCTCCAGAAGTTCACAATGCAGTTCCTCACCAGCAGTTCCAGCAGCTACCTTCACAACAAAACGCAGTCCCTCAGCAACAATTTCAACAAGCTCCCCCAGTTCCGAGCCAACAGCAATTCCAACAGCAACAGATCGTTCAACAACAATATAACCAACCACCTGGTCAGCCACAACAGCATCAGCAGCAACAACAACAGGAGCATCATCAGCAGCAACAACAACAGGAGCATCAGCAGCAGCAGCATCATCAGCAGCAACAGCAACAACAAGAGCATCATCAGCAGCAGCAGCAACAACAACAACAAGAGCATCATCAGCAGCAGCAACAAGAACAACATCAGCAGCAGCCGCAGCATCACCAAGAACAACATCAACAACAACAGCAGCAGCAACAGCAGCCAAATCAACAGCCTCCTGTGTCCAGTGATCCAAAGCCTCCATCTCAACTACCTCCACAAAATCATCCTCAAGCTGACATGTCGCACGATTCAAATCAACAGCAACAACCAGGAGTTGCTGCTACAGGACAGGCTCATCAATAAGTTCCTCACAACAAAAAGGTGACAAAATAATACTTTCAACAATGCTCAAACTAACTTGTGTACTCTTGAGACTTCCAATGCAGTTTAAAGTGCAGTATTTGATATGTAAATGTTGATGAAAACTTCGTGTTTTGTTTGATAATTAATATAAAATTTTAAGAATATTGAAAAGTTTGTAATATCTATAATGTAATAAATCATGCCAAAAATTCATAACAAGTTGTGAACTTATATTTCATAATTTGGTCCTTCCACACATGCAAGTATCTTCAATTATACGAGGGTAAAGGGTAATTTGTGATTAATGTAAAGACAAATTTTATATATATATTTTTTTTTAATATTTATTATTATTGCATATTGTTTACGTTAGTATATTACTTAGGTATACGTGCCAAGTAGCAACTTAAATGTATGATTGCGTGATTTTGTTTGTTCCTCGGTACGTAGGGTAATGTACGCTTACTCCGTATTATATATAGGGTGTATTTATATGTATACTATAATTTTTTTCGGTAAAACGTCACCTTAAAAGCTATTTGGTAAAATAAATAATAATTTACAACGAATTGCGGCTTTTCTTCCATGATACTTCCAACTTCTGCACGTAATGTTTTTATTTTTCTTCAAAACTTCACTTTTGAATGCATTTTACACTTTAATTATACCACAATTTTTTTACACAACATATTTCAAACAACAAAATCAAGTAAGCCTTTTGTTTGTTCATTTATAATTAGCTTCGATGACGCTTGCCCTATCAATTATCATATAAATAACAAATTGGTCTAGCTAAATGAAAAGGAATCTCTTGAAGGATTTTAAAAATAACAATGAATCATATGTGACAATGGAAAACAGGGAAAAACGTTTTTATGAGAAAAAAAAAAAAAAAAAAAAAAAAATAATCAATATACTTTTCCGTGATAACTTTTATAATTGACAGTTTGATAACACCATGTCCGTTAAAAGTATCTACAAAATCGTAAAAAAAAAAAAAAAATAAACACTTAACTACGAGCGCGTGGACAAAACAGAACCGACCCTTGAACCCTTATGCATACGTATACACAAAACTTGCCTGTTTTCCAGCACATCAATAGATGATTATTATTATCTGGTTACAAGATATAATCGTAAGGGCTACTGACTTTGCCTTGATCGGGGGAAAAAAAAAAGTAACTAAGTTTATACGTTCGTGCGTATGTATGTATATTGTATGAGCAGGAAAAAAATTATTTGGCTTGAAAATACTCGAAAAAACTGTTTGCCGCCAATGCAGATTTCTTCTTATCGTTAAAACAGTCTTAAAGTAGCGCCGAATAACTTTTTTCTTGATTCCCGCGGAAAAGCGAGAGCGCACCACCGTTAGGGGCGGCCTTCCTCCTTTTTTTTTTGTTATATATATATATATGTATGTATTTTCCCATTTTCTTGAAGAACGAAAGAAAAATAAATAATTGTACAATTGATTCGTAAACTAATAGTATTAATTACATTGAAGTAATAAAGCTTAATGAAGGGGAAGAGTGGGACTCTTCTCTGCTGCCGTAATTACAAAATAAATATATTCCGCGAACGAACTATGTAACACAATGATAAAACGCGCTATTTACAATACGTAATGTATAATATGATGATAGCATATATATATATATATATGTAGTATACAATATAGAGTCGAACGCAATAGTGCGAAAGTGCGAATTACGAACGATCAAGGAAGTAACGCGACTTTTTTTTTCTCTCTTTCTCTTTCACTTATCTTTTATTACCAACGTCACAGATACAATCACTGCGATTCAACGTATTGCAAAAATAAATTCAAGATATTGTTTATCCTAAGATTCGTATAAAAAGTAAATAAGGGGACGCTGAAAGTAACCGCGTGTAACGTTAAAATTATACATCAGATCCAATACAAATGCTTTTACATCGTCGCATTTTTTATACAGGGTCTCAGACACCGCCGCTCATATAGTCAGTTATACACACATTGCAAAAAAGATTCTGCTAATTTTTTTTTTTTTTTTGTTTTTTTTTTTGTTTTTATGAATAACATACTCGTATCGCGCATCGGTGTTGTTATTAATATCTGAGTTTCCATCGTTCATATTATTTTTCGATAATCGTATGAATCTTGTATAATATATTATACTTGCTCGTCTTGCTAAATCACACGAAACATTATCATTCGCTATATAGTATTCAAGTCTATTTTTGCAGCATTTTAACATTGCAAGACGAATGAAAATGCTGCCTATAATCGATTAAACGTACAAACTTGACTTTTAAATAATGATAAAAAAAAAAAAAAAGATTCGCTTTGTTCAGTGAAATTTACACATTGATAAAGTACCTACTACAGTTACGGATACAAAAATTTGAACGAAAGACGTAAAATTTTCATTGATTAATTGAACTTTTTCAGATCAGATCTGTCTGTCATCGTAGCCAATAACTGCAAGCACACAGTTAGGCACATTTCGTCGGACTTTGGATTCCCGTCGTGCAGCAGCTGTAGAAAATATCATTTCAAGGCGATAATTTACTGCCAAAAAGGCACAATAGCCAATTGCGTAGTTCATACGAGGAAAAACAATGCCATATTCCTCTGATTTCAAAAACAAGCAAATTGTCATTTTTTTACGACTACATCTTTTCCTTACATCACCCCCGTGGTTCATGTCAGTTGCAGCAGAACGGGAACCCTAAATCCGCCGCAGCATATCTAACGATGCACTAAAATACTAAGGTCGTCTAAGTACTCATATTTTTTTTTTCTATTCATATTGTTACATCAATCGATAATAGTTGGCTAAATAAAAAATAATTGAGCGTCGGGTATCGCAATCACTTTTCCTTTTTTTTTTTTTTTTTTTTTCCAAACATTTGTTTTTGTGACTCATATTCCTCCCCCCGAAAACAAAAAGGTATTGGTTTTTCGGCTTTTTAAGGCGATCGACATTTTTTATCGCTCATCCAATTGACAAACAAATAAATCCAGTTCCGAAAATGTGCGAAGAACTTAATTTTAATGTCTCATTAAAAATCACGTTGCGGATGATTTTTTTTTCGTCGATCTTTCTAAATGAATACTTCAGAAATAGCAAGAAATCTGGTGATACAAATATAAAATAAACATGAAATAGTAGTTTTCCTACGAGTTTGAAAAGTCTCTGTTTGCGAACCGAGAGGTTTGCGGCCCGAGCCGAAGGCGAGGGACGTAACGAGGTTCGTAAAGGAGACTTTTCGNCACTTACATATAAGTATATATGTAATATATAGATGTTAATTTTTTTTCCTCATCTGTTAACTATTACACCGTACAAAGAACAAAAACGTGAAAACAAAACCTTTAATCATCGACGCTTCCGAATTAACTTTCTCTCCCGCACTTTTACTCTTTATTTTCTAGATTATCACTCTGTCAGCCTCTTGCTCAACTATCTCAAACAAACAAACAAAACGAATTGTTAAATGTGTTTAAAAGACATGCCATTCAGGGTATTACCGGTGTGAGTTTATCCGAAACCGAAATTTTGTAGATCATCCACGTCTCGTACAAAAGCAACGAGAAAACTTTTTTCACGTCACATTTATAACGAGTCTACGAGATGTTTTATAATCATCCAACCTATTCATTCACTCACCCAGTATTTTGCTATTACGTTGACTGTATTTTTTTTTTTTTTTTTTTCATCGTTTTAATTCGACTAGTCAGCATTTTACGTATCGAAACAGTACATTTATTCTTTCAGTATTATTTATAAGATTTCGCATATCTCAAATGCTAAAAACACGTGTTTTTCATCTTACGTAATTGCAAAATAACTTCTGGAATCGATTATTCACACCCACATTCATGCTAAAATTTTGACTGATTTTTTTCATTTACAAGTGGTCACGATCTACGAGACTCTTTTCTTAATTTTTTCGATAGGAAGGCACTTTCTACTTTTTTTTCTTATCTTTTTTTTTACAATATATCGCTAAACGTTCTTTATCGCTTTATTTCCTTATCAGCGCGTATTGATTCACGTTTTATTTTGCTTTGAATTTGGCTGCACACTCATAAACTTTTCATTACCTCTTTTTTTTGTTAAATAACGAATAAATCGCTTCGATTTTTGTTCTATAATATTTAGTTTTTGAACACATTTTACGCCTAGATTTTACATCGTATAATTTTGGGATGTACATGTACTCGTAATTTGAATTTTTTTTTTTTTTTTCAAAGTAAAAATTACCAACTACAACTATACACTATTGAATCATTTAAAAAACAGTCCTAAATTTTCACTTTCAGCGTATTTTTCAAGACAAGTCTTTTGTAAATTTTCTGTCGCAAGATCAAGATTTCCAAATCAAACTGTAAGTTTAAAAATTTTGAATACAAAATGATTATGTTGAAACAAAAGTTGTGAGTCTTAAAAGACAATATCACCATAAAAAATTAATTTTAAGATTAAAGTATTTCATTGTAACTGTTAAAATTACTTTTGCTTGAAATTTTGTCGCGCAAAGGTTTTTATATCAAGAATATCATTTTATATACTTTGAGAGAAAATTTTCGAAATCTCGATACTCTGAAAAATTCATTCCATCAGTCAGCGCCGAGCGTAAAATTGTTTGTTTCTTGATTATCACTCTTTTTGCTATAGTCGTGTTTAAAGAAAGGATTTTGAAGCCAAACAAACAAGTATAAAAAAAAATCTCGTAAAACGCGACAACCAGGGCTCTCTTCGCTTTTGGCGACACTCACGAAGGCCACTTCAGACGTTTTTCCTTTACACAAATATAAAGCTGGATAATGACCTAAACTCGTAAATGCATTCATTTTCATCTTGAGCGAAATACTTATATCTTTTTACTGAATATATCGGGCGAAGGCCTCGTGTGTTTTTTTGTGTTATTTTATAACCTGAAGATTTCTAAAAAATAACAAAATTAATTTTTTTTTATCACCTTTATGTTTAGCAAAGTCACGCGCAATTTCTTTTTATACAAAATTTTGAAAAATAGTTTGACTTTTCCGAAAAAAAGCATCCACACGCCTTCTAGTACTTTAATGCTCGCTACACCCGTTTTCTTCGGTTAACTTTCATTATTTTATTTTTACTTTTAAGAACAATTTCACTAAAAAATTTCCAGTTCCGAGGAGTTCTCAAAATTTGAAAAAAAAAAAAAAAATTTTTTTAA